ATTGTCTTAGTAAGGGATCGTACATAATTTAACTGGGGGAGGGGGGCTAGGGTGAGAAATAATCTCAAAAGCAATTTTTTTAAGTACCCCTTACGAATAGCATAAACACAAAATGAGGTGTTGGAGAATACCTTCATTTACTTTTTAGCCTGAAAAAAGAATTCTGCATATACTAAAATCGCTGATATTTTTAAAATTCTGTTGATTCCAGTGGTGACAATGAAACTGATTCTGTTGACAATGATAAAGACAGCATGGAAAGTCAGATTTTTCCATTAAAGAAATCAGAATTTCAATGGAAATATCTTGATGTTCAGATTTGGTTTCTCTGACTTTTACTGTTCAAAATGTTTAATGTGTTACTGATAAGCATTAAATTGGATCTATAATGCCTCAAAAAAAATGAAAAAAATGAAGCATAAAAACTTGAATTAAAACATATATTATCTATACAAAAAGCATAGTTTATTGGCATTAAAATTGAATTAAAAGACAAAAAGAACAAAAACCTTTCTGATTTTTGAGCGTTTCATTTGAATAAAAATTTAGCACGTTCACATTGCATGTTCAACAGCGTGAAAATCCTTCATAAAAAGCAAGAAAAAAAAATGCCACGAAAAAAGCGAAAGTGTAATTTCTTTATTACCTTTATCAAGTTAGACTAAGGATATTGTTTTTTTCTTCTTGGTGAAATGCGTTCCACAAAAAATGAGAATGAAAGCTTTGAAACATCATATCGAAAATATTGAATATTATTCTACGTCTGCGACGTTTCGTGGACGTTTGACGGCTAGCTGGTTCGTAGGGATACATGATCATGATTGTTCAATAAACAAGAAGAATCGCATCTAAGATGCGAATTTCTCCGAATTGTGTTTTGTATTCATTAAACACAATCATGTAAACAGCGTTTTCTATAAAACTTATATCTGTCTCTGATAGTCTTCGTAGCAGAATATCGACGCCTGAGAATTGTTCGTTATGTTAACAGTCGACCTGAATCCGCTGTATTAGTTATTTTCTTGATAGTTTTTTATTTCATGTTATAGACTTGACCGATCAAGATGACTGGCCAAAATGAAGTTTGACCGGACAAGTGCGAATTTTGGCCAATCATTGTCGGTTGACCAGTCGTTATTTTGAGCACTGGAATAATCCTTTATTCAATTCCAGGGCCATTTTTTTGCATAAATAAAATTCAAGGCCCCTCCATTTCTCACACAGACCCTACGTCCCTCAGTTAAATAATGTACGGTCCCTAATATATATAGTTTTGAGAGTAACGCACAGCAAATGTTCAGAACTTGATCATTGAAGTATTACATTGTCTTAAATGGAATGATTTGTAGCTTGGTGGCTTTAAACTGCCATTTCTGGTTCTTGGTGGACTAGTTCTTCTGACATTGCCGATGGCCATGTTTGTCCTTCCCATAACAGGTGAGCAT